AACACCATCCCTACAGTCAAGCACGGAGGTGGAAACATTATGCTTTGGGGCTGTTTTTCTGCTAAGGGTACAGGATGACTTCACCACATTGAGGAGCAAATGGACGGGGCCATGTACTGTAAAATCCTGGACGAGAACCTCAGCCAGAACACTGAAGATGGGTCATGGATGGGTCTTCCAGCATGACAATGACCCGAAACATACCGCCAAGGCAACAAAGGAGTGGCTCAAGAAGAAGCACATTAAGGTACTACAACTACAACTACAAAAAAAACGTCTTACCTCTGTGCTTGCCAACAAGGGTTTCTGCACCAAGTAGTAAGTCATGTTTTGCTTGGGGATCAAATATTTATTTCACTTACTGAAATGCAATTCAATTTCTAACCTTTATATAATGTGTTTTTTCTGTATTTGTTGGTTGGTATTCTGTCTCTGTACGTTAAAATAAACCTACCATGAAAATTACAGACCCTTCATTTCTTTGTAACGGGGCAAATTTATAAAATCAGCAGGGGATCAAATAAATATTTCCCCCACTGTAAATCTGACCTGAATTAACTTTTGAAAGAGAAAGTCCATGCATTCCTACCTCGATGAGAGGGTGCCAGTGTGCGATGGGTTTGCGTGGGTATGTCAACATTTCATTCCAATGTTCTCTGCCCAAACCCTCAGCATCATTACCTCCTCGGCACACACCAATGACCTCATTGTGACCTACACTGTGAAAAGAGAGAGCAAAATACGTGTTTACTTCATAAGACTACTTTTTGCAGAATCATTGCTGTAAAAATGCTGTCTGTATTATATATCTCCACTGCCCTTTCTATAAGGCTCACATACTGTACATCTTCATCAAGTGCAAATCAGAAATGTGTGTATACGTTGTGTGTTTTTTAATTTTAAAATATTTTAGATTATTTTAAGAGGAACTCAAAAAAGTCATCAGATTAATCATTATTTGTTTAATTTATAAAATGTTTCAATTTTGACAAATCAAAATTGCAATCTTTCCAAGTAGCTCCAACTACCAAGTAAAGTGTAAAGATCAAGGGAATTTGTCGAATGCTGTTACTAGAGAAAACTTTTTTAACTCATCTCTCAGTTAACAAACAAAAACGTTCACATTAACGAACATACAATGAAGTATAGCCTTAAAGTTCACAAGCATAAGGTACATCCAGTGCTGGATTGGTAATCGGGCATACCGGGCATCCTATATAAAGATCGCTTCACCCCAACTTCTTCCTCGTTGGCTTTTCCCATGTTTTCAAAAGATGATTATCAAGAACAGGCTTGCTCTGCGGTGAGTGATGCGGGCCAAAGAGCCAGGCAGGAGGAGGAGAGGAGAGTAGTTGAATTGGTAAAGTGCTTGATAGGGACTCGCAACGGAGGCAGGAATCTAACCTATCCTAATGTGTGTAAGCGGCTGCGAGTGTAGAATGCGTAAACACTTTTTAATAAAACGTAAATTCGTCCCCCGCGATTTTTTAGCCAAGTCAAGTCAAGTGTGTTCATAGAGGTTTCCAAGGGCCAATGCGAATAAAGCTAGATTTAAATAAAAAAAGACACGATATTGTCGGACCTGACGTTTTATTCTTATCCAAAACAAGATGTGATACATAGGCTACATGCATACACTACCAGTCAAAAATGTTTGAACAGTAAGAAAGATCCAATAGAAAGATCCAGAGATCAGCATTCATATGAAATAAAAAGCTTTTGTAACATTATACATATACCATTCAAAAACTTGGAGCCAGTATTTTTATTTTATTTTTTATTTTATTTTTATTTTTTTGTTAAATTATATAAATTAATACTTTTATTTAGCAAGGATGCTTTAAATTGATCAAAAGTGACGATAAAGACATTTATAATGTTACAAAAAAAATTATATTTCAGATAAATGCTGTTCTTCTGAACTTTCTATTAATCAAAGAAACCTGAAAAATTATACTCTTCTTCTACTGTTTTCAACATAATAATAATAATAATAATACATGTTTTTGGAGCAGCAAATCCGAATATTTGAATGATTTCTGAAGGATCATGTGACTGGAGTAATGATGCTAAAAATTCAGCTTTGAAATCGCAGGAATAAATTACATTTTGAAATATATTCAAATAGAAACAGTTATTTTAAATAGTAAAAATATTTCACTATATTACAGCTTTTGTTGTATTTTGGATCAAATAAATGCAGGCTTGGTGAGCAGAAGATAATTCTTTAAAAAACATTAAAAATCTTACTGTTCAAAAACTTTTGACTGGTATAGTATATATATATCGAAGTGGTGATGGGCCGCCTGGACCAAAAAATGCCAGGGTCGATTTTTTGTCCCAGTCCAGCCCTGGGTACATCCTTCATTTTTCTAAGTGTTGGCTTTGCTTACTAACCTTGTCCATGTAAAGTTATTTCCATGAATAACATCTCAGTATTAAACAACCCAAACAATGCTAAACTTACCAATAAATAAATGAATAAAAAGTGAATGAGAACACAGAGAATATTCTAATTCTAAAGCAAAGATATGCCTTTAAATTATATTCCTCAAAGTTACAAATCACATTTGACACATAAAAGTGGAATAATCTTTAGAATATATTTTGAAGGTGAAAAAAATTAAACAATAGAATACCATGTCCCATAGAGTTCCATTGTAAGGATGAAGGATGAGTCAAAATAAATTTCTGGTAATCAACAGCATTTTACAGATGCTGTGCACAGAGCTTAACTTGTTTTGAAACGTGAACATTGCTTAAAAATTAGAAAGAAAAAAAATAATAAGAAGAAATAGCAACAAAGCAATCATCTTTTATTTCAATTGATACCCTTATACAATGTGTCTATAATGGGCAGAAAGGACACAAAAGACCTCACCGGTCATAGTCCATAACAGCTATGAGAAGGCTGATTTGGTCAATGTTCTCTGGAGGGACATCAAACACTATGGCCTCATTGTACACAGGGTTTAATGTGTTCCTCTTGGTGGAGGTTTTTCTTTTCTTCAGTCTCCGTCCATCACACATCAGAGAAACTTTCACATAAGGATCTAAGAAAAGAGTCCAAGTGAATAGTGAAAATATGTAATGTTATCATATTAAGAATATTACAAAAAATAAAATTAAATTGGCTGAGAGCCTTTTCCAGGTGTGCAATATTCTGTATAAATAATACTGTGTGAGAATGTAGTTGTTTAGACTTCAAATATGTGTTTTTGAAATAAAGATAGCATCTATTTGAAAATTTGCTTCAACGTTTTCGTAGATGTGAGCTCCAGGGCGTCAGCGTCATGAACCAGCCGAGAGCAGACGTACCTAAGCCAGTTCTTCTGGAATTTACTGCTGGCTCTGATGTCTAAATAGCTGTTAAACATGAGATAGAATGTGTTTTGGGTAAATCTAATGGGCAGTCTTTGGTCTCATTAATCTATGTTTTGTTCCAGAGCAAATAGTTTTGGCTGAAGGCAAATGCTCATAACGTTATAAATTATGCCTTTGTACTTTTGACTGATATGCCTGGCAACTTTTATGATGGCTGTTGTTGTTGTTAAATAGTATTTTTCAATAAATAATATTTTATACAAATAATAGTAGCATTTAATAGTAGTATTTAGTGTTGATAAAAATTTGATTTGTTACATTATTCCGCCATTAGATGGCTGCAAGAGACTGTTTTATGTGTGAGTCAGCAGTTAAGACTTTTATATTGAAGGAGACTGAAACAGGGTTGTAAACAAGGAAGTTATTTTCACTTTCAACAACACCTTGAAAGATGCAGCCAACAAATGAACTGAGCAGCGCTGTCATCGGAAATCACCCTTAACAGATTGAAAGACAAATATATCGCTTTCCTCAGTGGACATTCAAAGTAATGTTTTATTCTGAATATGAGACTGAGCTGAAGAATGAATGCTGTAGCAGATGCAGGTAATCACACTCAGTCCATCTCTCTCTCATAATACTCTACTCTAAATAATACAGTGAACTTTTAATACAGTAATACAATAAGCTTTCAGTGAAGCAACTCAACGTTTCTTCGTTACTAGTTCTAAAGTGACATTTTCGAATTAGTAACATAGGCTTGGGCTCAGCTGTTAAACTGACAAACTGAGATTTGAATCCATGGCAGAGGCTTTTTAAAGACACTCTGTTGTTGTTTTCTCTTTTTTATTTACACACTTGTGCCATCAAACTGTTGTATAAACACAATGTCACACTCGTAGCTGTGCGATAGATATGGCTGTATATCAGCACGCTGTGTATTACCTACGGCCAAATATATCATTATAATCATTTAAGGCCATAACCTTTTATCCACAGTTCCCTTTTGAACACAAATTTAAGGAATGACCAGAGATGGCAAAGGTACACACATCCTTCATTCAAGCAGAAGTACAAATACTCATGTTTAAAAAGACTCTGGTAAAAGTTGAAGTACTGACCACTGACACTTTTTCACTCAAGTTAAAGTAAAGATGTATGTGCTCTGGCATGTACTTTAGTAAAGAGTAGCAATTACTACTACCTGTTTTAGTGTCACTCTGGTAACTGTACCTCACAACATATTAATACATTAATACAAACGAGCTTACATTACACCAGCTTAAAACTTTATCTAGCCTCTTACATATCCTACCATTAGTTGCAAATCCTCTAAAGCTATTTTGTTAAGGAGAAAAAAAGAAAGGTAATATGCAGGGGTGTGAAGTAGCGAATTACAAATACTCACGTTAAGTAGTTTTTTAGACAAGTACTTTTACTCTACTCACACTACATTTTTTGGAAGGTAATGGTACTTTTACTTGAGTATATTTTTTCAGTACTCTTTCCACCACTGGTAATATGTCATTTCAAACTGTAAATCCAGGTATATAAATAAAACCTGAATCTGCTCATACCTGAAGCTCCAGTGATGTCCATGGCTTTCAGATTTCGTGCTTTGATCATAGTGATGGTCAGTCGTCCGGCAGTGGGCAGATAGCATAGAGAAAACATCAAATCCCCCAGATCCACATTGTCCTGGTAACAGAAACAAGATTTATTTACTCACATTTACTGTTCTACCTGTACAATAAACACCTTCATTCATATCAATTACTGTTTGATTCTGTTATTTATTCATGCATTTGTTCATGTATTCACTCTTTCATTGAAAATTGTGCAGACCATGGTAAATATAGATTACATGGAGTTCACCAAGGAAGAAGCTGCCACCTTCTTATGAATTTTTTCATGCCACTTTGGATCATATCAGAACAACACTAATGCCAGCAACATTAAAAAGTAACAGCCGTGTTATCACTTGCTCTGGAAATAACTTAGCCGAGAATGTGAGATGAGCTTTTCTAACACCTATTCATTTGAACTTCACAATGATGGCTTACCTCCAGTCTGCTGAAAAAGGAGGATTTAACTGACAAGATTCATCTAAACCTGACCATCAGCTCACTGCAATATGAACTTCACCAACATTGTTTAGATTGACAGAACCCAGAAATGGCAGAAAAGAGATGTTATGCTGATTGGTGTCTCCAAGTAATTCAAAACTGCCTGATATACTGAAGGACAGTTGGATATTAAGCAAAGATAAATAGATTTGTATTTTGAAATGTGTGAGTATTCTTGCTGTGGTGATTTGAATGTTCAAAATTATGTTTCATTTTTACATGCCATTTACGGCAATAACAGACCACAGTAATAGACCACTGTGAGAATGAACGAATGAATGAATGAACATCCCACAGACAAACAATGGATCAGCAGTCTGCATAAGCCGTTATTGAGCAAACAAGCAGACAACAGAAAATGTATGTGATCAGAATTGCATTAAATCAAAAGTATAGGTTATTTAATACAAAAAACACAACACACATTAGTTATAACATTGCTTTCTATAATAGATTACTTGCTACTAGTGCCTCTGTGGAAAAGGCAAAAAATTGAGTTGGTTTCAAATTGACTTTTCCTCAAAAATAGTCCACACTGTAGTAGTCTCTTAACTCTTGATTTTGGAACAGAGGGTATCCAAGGATGAGACTAGCATCTGTCAGACGCTATATTCCTTTTTTTTTTAATAATGGGTTTTACCTATCATGTCTAAATAGTCAGTATACAGGGTGCAAAAAAAAAAAAAAAGGAGGTGTTCTGGGCGGCAATGAGATATTATGAGTTCATATCTGATGCTCCATTGTATGCCTGAGGCTCATGCTGATGATAACCAGGGGTCGTGCTGGTTGTGACAGTAAAAGGTCATTCTAGTGCTGTGATGGGTTTTGTAGAGGATCTGAGAAGCTAGTAGTGGTGGGCAAAGGGGAAAAAAAAAAAAAAAAGGAGGTGTTCTGGGCGGCAATGAGATATTATGAGTTCATATCTGATGCTCCATTGTATGCCTGAGGCTCATGCTGATGATAACCAGGGGTCGTGCTGGTTGTGACAGTAAAAGGTCATTCTAGTGCTGTGATGGGTTTTGTAGAGGATCTGAGAAGCTAGTAGTGGTGGGCCAAGCGAGGCTTCATGAAACACTGAAACAGTCGAAGCAAATGTACAAATTTTGAAGTATTGCTCTGAAATAGCATTGACAATGAATCAGTTAAGCGAATTGACAAATTATAAGGTATATGTTGTGCTTGTCATTCCACCATGTGTGTTGGGGGAGTGGTTAGTGTGCACACTTGGCATGTTGTCAGAACCTGTCACTTAAGGTTTGAATCCCGGGTGAAGCATGTATATAATTATAATAAATGTTTGAAGGTTGTGTTTTTATTATTCTGTTCTTGTAATGTGTTGTAACATCTCTTTGACAACTGAATGAATTAATTGTGAATATGTTATAAATCTTAGTCACGTGACATGGGTGTTTCGAATCTCACTTCGGAGCAGTGTTCTGCGCTTCGGGATCTCGACACCGTGTCGAAACATCAGTTTCGCGTCAGCCATCCCTAGAAGCTAGTGGTCCTGCCATTTAGAAATGGTAAACAAATGCTGAAGGGCAACTGCTACTCTTCTATGATGATATTTCATAGACATATTGCCTGGCTTACTAAAGACATTAACATGTATTTTTCAATGCAAATATGATCAACATTTCATGTATAGCGAGAACATACTACAAGTGTTATTAGAAGATCCATCTGGATAAATTAGTCACTTTCAGGCAACATATCTTCATCATTTACTAGTAAATGAGAGTCATGCTCTCACAAAACTATTGTGAAACTTAAATTCCATAAAAGTACCAACGGGAGTGTAAAGTTCTGTGTGATCTAATGACAGTCTGCAAATAAACAAACACAGATGCAGCCAGATCATTTCCATAATGACCAACACAATCTATCAAGAGCAGCACAAATTAGCATAAAGTCGCAAACAAGCAAAGCCGATGAAAATCAGGGGCCTCATTTATAAAACATGCGTACAGACAGATATGATATTAGAGTGTGTGTATGCTAAAATTGAAGAGCTTGAAAAAAGTCCACACACTCAAACATCAAAGAGTCACAAGCGAGATGAAAACAATATAAGCAATTTACTGAATGAAACAAGGCAAACGTTTCGGTCACATGTTGACCATTTTCAATGCCAAGCTGACAATGTTAGAACTAGGAGCCATCTTAATTTGAGGAATCACATGATAATTAAAGAGATCACATGATCACTAAAAAAAATGATCATGTGATCGCTTTAATTATCATGTGATATTGATCATGTAATCTCTTTAATTATCATGTGATTCCTCAAATTAAGATGGCTCCTAGTTCTAACATTAGGTGCGTTTGACTTGAAGCACCGCTACAGACAGCAGTCAACGAGAGTAGCCGCTTGCAGTCGGGGGTGGAGTTGAAAACGGAGCCATCAAGCCGGACACTTTCTGCTCCCGTTAGTGACGCTCGCGCGGTGTTTGCATACTCTATCACAGATGAAGTGAATTAAATGCAATATCTGTCAAATACACAGACGTTTCAGAAACGTTTTCATGAGCTACAGAAACACTTTTTATATACTGCTTAATACAGCGCCATCTGTTCAAGAATAATGTTCAACGTAAATATATACTATTTAAATACTAATAAAGTGGGGGTATATATGCTTTCATGATAAACGTGACTCAATATAACATTGCGACTACAGTAAAAAAGCTTTTAATGTTCTAAAAACACAGATTTATGAGCAGTATTGGATTTGAAGATGTTAGAAACACACGTCATTGTTGTCATGTGGTGAATTTGGCCAATCGTGAAACAGCTGTGTCGTCATCAGCACTCCTGCAGTCGCTCTGAAAAAGCTGCGCCAGCTGAGTCAGCCAGCTGCTCTTGAAACGATATCGTGGTACTTTGATGCCACACGTGACAGTGACGTAGTGTCGGCGCCGGTTCAAGTCGGACAACATTTCTAACCGGCATGCACTGCTTCAAGTCAGCCGCCGATCGGTTTGCGCGGCGCCGCATGAAGTCGAACGCACCTATTGTCAGCTTGGCATTGAAAATGGTCAACATGTGACCGAAACGTTTGCCTTGTTTCGGTTTATTGTTTACATCATGTTGTGCCAATGTTACAACAATTTTTGGGATACCACGATCAAAACTTTGTGATTTAAACAGTTTGGTGTTGGATATTCATGCAATTATGGTGAAAACCAATCACATTTGTGTGTTCAAAAAATAAAGAAATGCTTATATTTCTTCACTGGCCAATGGAGCGAACCTACCTCGTGACGTCACACGCTGTGGAATTGCAAGATGGCGGCGCCCTTGCTCCAAAAGCGATAACAAAACATCCTTTTTCCTTTTAAATGGTTACATTAATTCTGTTTATTATATTTATTTATTTTTTTAATTAAAGTGGAAATCAGTTTAGTAAATAATGTAAACTTGACTAACTGCTTCACTTCACTTTAAGACACAACTATGTTTATTTGAATACCATCAAGCATGTCTACGCTTTATTTTTTCATGTTTCTTTACTGTGCGTCAGAACAACCGGCATTGTAGTCTACTCTCCCAAGATCAGGAAACAGTCCTCCATAAAATGCGCTGCACACATCTTAATATTTGGGTTGAGCTGTTCTGGAACAGTGTTGTAAATACAACTTAACCACTGATTTCTAGTCGTGTCCTTCCAAAAGAGCCAGCATGGATCATCTCTAGGCATGACGAAGCGGATATCGTCCTCTTTTGGAAGGCCAAACAAAGTAGTTTCACTTTCACAACGAAACACATGGCAACAACAATACTACAGCGAGAATCAAAGTTACGCCTTCTTTCTTTGCGTGAACATTTGGGCGGTGTTATGCAAATCTTCCCACATAGTGATGTAGACATGTGGGGGCGTGTTAGAACGAGCCGTTTTATAGGCGTGGATGACTCTTAACTTTTATAAAGAATATATCTTTGGATTTGAGACTTTAGTCTTTGCAACTTTACAGATCTTCTTTATGCATCAAGAGCTTGTAACACTCCAAAGAGAAAGGAAAAATTGAAATCGCATCATATGACCCCTTTAAAACGGTTGCATTAATCGTGTTTTATATATATATATGACATATGAACATATGAAATTAGAAGAAATATGGATCAATATATTGGATATATTGTCTAGTGTTAGGGTTAAATAATGTTTTTTATAAGTTGTTCAAGGAGGGGAAAGAACATCTCTTTATCTTATGTGTGTATCTAACTCCAGTATTAGCCTAGTAAATGTAATGACACTGTTTCTTGCACTTCAAATGATTGCTTGTATATATTGTTTATATTTTTGTATTTTCAATTTTTTTATTTTTTTATTTGTATTAAATACATTTCTCACACCAGTATTTTGTATTTTAAATTAAATACATTTGATGAGCAAGTATTTGTAATTTGTAACAAAATACTTTTTTGGTGTATTTGTGCCCTTCTCTGCTTATTAACATGCTTATTATTAACATATTTGCTGTTTCTTAGTACTTATAAAGCACATATTCTGCATGACCATATTCTACATCCCTAATCCTACCCATTAACTAAACTTAACAACTACCTACT